ATGATAGTCCAAACTGATCCTGAGGTCGCATGTGTAACTGATTGAAAGGACACCAGATGGGGTTCAGAAAATATTCCATTAGCCACATCTGTGACCCTGAAAAAGTACCTCCATGCTATATCTTCAAGTTATTGTGAGAAGCTGAAAAAAGAAAATAACAAAATAATTTATTTTGCTTTAGTTTTCTGACCTATAAATAAAGGGAATTTAAATGGCCCACCTTCTGATCAAAATTTCTATCATCCCCGACAAGCAACGTCTTTCCTTTTATTCATTCATTCATTCATCCATTTCTTTTGTCTTTCAACCACTTAATAATCAGGTGAGAGTTCAAACGCAGTCCCCCACTACCACAAATTACACAGTCAAGTTTCCCACATTTGGGGAAATTTCAGGGGTCAGCACATCTGGAATGAATGGATAAGCCTCACTCCGGGAAAACTACCTTCATGATCATGGTATCTCCCCTGACAGTAAGTTCCTTTCTTTTTTTAAATTTTCTGATAATATTCTATTATCCCCCAAATATATTTAAGAAAGATATATTTCACATAAAGATACTAAAGATCTAGTTATGTCAAGGTATATCTTCTATATATAAAGAGAGATTTATATATAAATATTTGTACACAGTTATAGTTAAATAAAGCTATATATACATATATGCATATACATACATATACATATAGACACACACACACACACAACCCCATTTAAACTCTCAATAGTTGTTTTTGTAGAAATTGCCAAGCTGATTACAAAATTGTAGGGAAATGAGGCAATAATCTAGAATTTGCTAAAATTACCTAAAAATAAAGACAATAGTTAGAGTCCTCACACTAGCTGATTTCACAATTTACCATAAAATTACAGTATTCAAGATAATATGTCATTGGCATAATGACAGACAAATAGTTCACTGAAAGAGAATAGAGTGTCCAGAAATAGATTCACACATGTATGTAAGTACTAAGGAAATGGAATGAGAGAAATAAAAAATTTTTCAACAAGTTATATTGGAACAAGTAGATAATTATATGGGGAAAATCCCACTCTTATGTAGAAACATACATGAAAATCAATTCGAGATATTTCATAGACCTAGAGAGAAAACATTAATCTATAAAGTATCTAGAAATAAAAGGATAACAGGAGAATAGTTAATCTGCCTTACAATAGGAAAAGATGACTTACAGAGGATGCAAAAGGAACTAATCTTAAAAAAAAAATCAGCCTTCTTCAAAATGGAAAACTTCTGCTCATTGAAAAATCACCTTAAGAAAATGAAAAGAAAGTTACATATGAAAGAAAGTATTTGTGGTACATGTGTTGTGCTTTCTATTGAGAAAACACAAGGAAATCTTATAGTTAAAAAATAAAAATATAAGAAGTTTAACTCTAAAAAACAAGCAAAACATAAATTTGGGCACAAAGTTTACCAAGGGAGACATGAATGTCAAGTAAGAAAATAAATGGTAGTCAATATATTTATTCATCAGGGAAATAAAAATTAAAACTATAATGAGATACCACTCTACACCTTCTAGAATTTTAAAGATTAAATATGTAAGACAATTTTAAAAAGTGAAATAATCAAGTATTAGGAAAGATGTAGAACAAATGGGATGTTCATATAATTCTGGAAAGAATGTGAATTCATACAAAACTCTGGAAAACCCTTTGGAATTTTCTTACAAAGTTAAACATATACTCTATGGCCCAGCGACTCCACTCCTATGTATTTACTGAACAGATATCATAATTTAAGTCCAAAACAGACGGCTTATGTATATTCATAGCAACTCCACTGAAACTGCCAAAATCCAGAAATAACTCAAACTCCCATCTTTAGGACAAGTGATAAACAAACTGTAGTATATTTGTACAGTGAACACTAATTAACAATAAAAAATAAATCCCTGATTCATCATATGGCAATAAAGATTCTCAAAAACTATTCTCAATTATGTTAATTGGAGAATCCAACCACAGAACAGTACATACACTGTCATTTCTTTCATATGACCTCAAAATAAGCAAAACTAATCTCTGGTGATATAAATTTAAAAAGTGATTAACCAGTGTGGGCCAAGCACAAGTGAACATTTTGGGTGGATGGAAATGTACTATGTCTTGGTAGGGATGTTGGTTAGATAGGTGTACACATTTGTCAAAAATCTTTGAATTGTGTCTGTCCAGTTCTCTCTTTGTAATTTTACCTCAAAAAAGGTCTGTAAAAAATAACTTCCTATATTGAAAGGTCAGTAACAAAAAAAAAAAAAAAAAGGAAAGGCCAGTAACAGCCAGTAATTCTTTACTTTTTTTCATTTTTTAATGACCTGTTTGCTAAGTTTTTGCTAACCTATTGGCTTTTCTTGACTAGAGATGGATAGTTATATTTTTACGTAATTCTATACAGTTACTGTGAACATGTTTTTAGTTTTTACTGGGAATGCAAATAATTCTAAATTTATAACAAAAATGAAATAATAAATCTTTCCCTAATTGCAATCAACTTGTTTCATCTAAGCATAGATATCTGAGATGCATCATAAAGTCAAATAATTCTAAAGAAAATGTGCTTTGAAACAGGAATACCTTTATATTAAAAAACTGAAAACTATTTCCTACTTCAATATGATTTTCTAGAATATATGGGAATATTAAGCAGAAGGCAATTATTTATCACATATAGTGCCTTCTGAAGATCTGAACATCCCAGGCTACATAGTCACATTTAGCTTATTTTCTGACTATTTAAATAATATGATCACTGCTTCTCATTTTTCTTTAATGTAGTAACATTTTAGTCATAAAATCATAAACGGTTGCAAAATTGTAGGGAAATGAGGAAATAATCTAGAATTGCAAAAACTACCTAGAAAATAAGGGGCGCCTGGGTGGCTCAGTCGTTAAGCGTCTGCATTCGGCTGGGGTCATGATCCCAGAGTCCTGGGATGGAGCCCTGCATCGGGCTCCCTGCTCGGCGGGAAGCCTGCTTCTCCCTCTCCCACTCCCCCTGCTTGTGTTCCCTCTCTCGCTGTGTCTCTCTCTTAAATAAATAAAATCTTAAAAAAAAAAAAAAAACACTACCTAGAAAATAAGAAAATAGTTGGAGTACTCACACCAGCCAATTTCACCGGCATATCCTAATACATGCGTTTCAACTATTGAATATGAAAATTCGGGGGTACCTGGGTGGCTCAGTAGGTTAAAGTTCTGCCTTGGGCTCAGGTCATGATCCCAGGGTCCTGGGATGGAATCCTGTGTCAGGCTTCCTGCTCAGCAGGAAGTCAGCTTCTCCCTGTCCCTCTGCCCCTCCCAGCTGCTTGTGCTCTCTCTAGCATGCTCTCTCTCTCTCAAATAAATAAAACCTCAAAAAAAAAAAAAAAAGAATAGGAAGATTTGTGTACATCCAAATTAAAAAATGTCTGTGCATACACATATAAACTCATATATAAATATACACATCTATCACACCACACACATGTCTATATTTGTATGGTAATATATATGTGAGGGGTATGTGGCTTACCCTTACATGGTTGATATTGGTGATAAGTACCAGACATGGAAAGACTGTCTGACATTATACTGCTATTTATTATTTCCAGAGAGAGAAGCCCCAAATCTCCCTGGAGCAAATTTTCTTTCTTTTTGACAGAAATCAGTTGACTGACAGTTCTTAGTTATGGAAATACAAGTCTCCTAAGCATCTGCTTTCTGGCATCACCTTTAGTGTTTGGAGAAAGGCTGATCCTCCTGAAGAAACCTATATTTGCAGAAGACAGCACAGGAGATTTATATAATGTACTTAGATTTATAAGACCAGCATTCAGCAGGGATGCTGTAGCAATGATGACAGGATAGCACTAATAGACTGCTCCAAATCTTATTCTCTATCTTTTGTTAGGGAGCTGCAATGCCCTTCGATGAACTTTGGCCCAGGGATTCTCCTAAACTCTCAATTCGTATCTCAAACTATCTAAAGAATGTCTAATAAATATCTCGCTCAATATATCCTAAATTGAATTCTCGACCTTCCTTCTACACATATTTTACTTACTGCCTTCCTGATCTCGGTTGTTGCCAATCTCATCCCTCCAGTTGCTTAGATTTTGCTTATGTTAAAGTCCCAGGAGTCAATTTTGAATCTTTTTCTTTCAAACTCACCAACTAATCTATGAAAATCCCATTGTCCATCCTCAGAGTATGTCTAGAATCAGGCCACTTGTAACCACCCTCACTGTTCCAACTCTGGTTGAAGATCATCAAATTCTCTTGTCTGGATTATCTCTGGATATAAGTACAGTCTAACCTCAAGGAACAGCCATTGACCTTTCAAAAGTTAAGGTAGAGTAAATAACATGGCCGTTCAAAAACTTTCCATGATTCCCTATTTAACTCAGAGTAATAATCAAATGCCTTTACCTAACATGACCCGGCTGACTTCTCTGACTACAGCACTCAGCACTCTCTCTTGCTCATTACGCTCAGAGACACTGACCCAAAAGGTCAGGTATATTCCTATCTTAGGGCACTTGTTCAAGCTCTGTCTAATCTCTGGACTGCTCTACATCAGATAGCTTCCTGCTAAGCATGTCATCTTCCTCAAGTTTGGGATGAGACGCCATCTTCTCTTTAGCTTCTACTCATCACTTTATTTAATCCTGCAGTGTGCTACTTTGTGCAGCACCTTCTCACATGCACACAATTCCAATCCCCCTAACCCTGTTGCACTTTTATTTTTTTTCATGTACCACCTAATACCTTCTAACATATTATATTTAATTTACTTATTATGTCAATTGTATTTTAAATTAAATAAATTTGGCATATAACACTGTCTAAATTTAACTTGTATGTGTTACTTTGAAACATTTAAATGATCATCCATTTAAATTTTACAACCTGGTTTTTGGTTTTTTTTTAAGATTTTATTTATTCATTTTGAGAGAGAGACAGAGCACAAGCAGAGGGAGAGGGAGAAGCAGACTCTCCGCTGAGCAGGGAGTCTGATGTGGGGCTCAATCCCAGGACCCCAAGATCATGACCTGAGCCAAAGGCAGACGCTTAATCATCTGAGCCACCCGTGCACCCCTGCAACATGGTTTTTGTAACTTGACGTTTTTAGTTGTATATATGTGATATCATACAGTGTTTGTCTTTCTCTGTCTGACTTATCTCACTTAGCATATTGTCACAAAAAGCAGGATATCATCCTGTCTCATGGCTGAATAATATCCTATTTATCTATTAATGGGCATTAAGGCTGTTTCTCTATCTTAACTATTGTGAAAAATGAAAAAAAAAAAGTGGGAGTGTATATACCTTTTCAAAATCCTGTCTTCATTTCCTTTGGTATAAACCCAGAAATGGAATTACTGGATCATATGGTAAATCTATTTTTTAAAAAGCTTTTGACAAAATTTCCATATTGTTTTCCATAGTGGTTGGACCAATTCACATTTTCAGCAAGAG